ATTATTATTATTATTATTATTATTATTATTATTATTATTATTGTTGTTATTATCTTCTTGATTTTTTATTATTTTTGTTATCATCATTGGTGTCTCACTTAAATTGTCTCCACAGACAGGACAGTGATAAACTCTGATGAAATTACATGTTTTTTCTTTTCTTTTTTTACTACGCTGGGAGAATGAAATAAGCATGCTGTCTCCAAAGCCTTGAGTGTAACGCAGCACAAGTTTAAACTTCTCTGTGAAGGACGAAACATATTTCAGCCTGAGTGATGCCGTCATTTGTGGTTTAAGGCTATGACCGGGATGGCCGCGGGCGAACACGGGCAGAAGAGGGCTGGAGAAAGAGGAGAAATGGCCTATCAGAGCCCCAGTGCGCTCCCGGGCCGGGCCGGACCGGACCAGACCAGACCAGACCAGAGCCGGCCGACAGGGGGCGCTGCGGAACGGCAGAAGGAGCCCACGGCCCACCGAGAGCACACACTCAGTGGGTTTACTGACCAGAGAGGCGTTCAAGAACAAATCCAGATATGCATTCTTTTTTAAATACTATATTATTAGACTTTTAAAAAATATATTGTTACCAATTTCCTACATTTAATCAGTTAACACCCATTCGATTTTAATCTTAATTTTATGAGACTGCATTTTTCGGAAACATTTATCCAATCTTCTTATGATCATTCTTGATTTTGATTCTGTTGTTGTCCCTAAAGCTCACGGGACATTGTTTATTTTTGTCTGCCTTCCTGCCACCGCTGATGGTTTAAAGCTAAAATGGCCTGGTGGTGCATTTGCTGTGTAATTTGCACCCTTAATTTGCATTTGACGGTCATTTATCATTGGAGGGGGGGCTGCATTTGTGAACGTAAATAATTTGCCACGGCAAGATATATTTCCACCACAATTTGTTATTGTCATTTTAAGAGGGCACTCAACATTAAGATGGGCGGTCTGGGTAAAAACAGGGGGAATGGACAAAAAAAAGGAAAATAAAGGTTAGTCCAAACAGCGCAGAAATAAAGTGAGGACTCATGTATTTTTTATGGTCATGTGCAAAAATAAATTTAACATGCAACAATATACCCAAACAATGTTTAACCAGTAAAATGAGTTCTTTTAAAACGGGAAGATGAATTACGACTTTGTATGTAACACAGTTAATCACACAAAAATCTAACAAAAATCAAAAATGAAATATTTATTACAGCATTTGTGACTGAACACCTTTTAAACATTACGTCACAGTCCTCATACAAGTATTTAATGTATTTTTGACAAAGCTTAAGGGAGACGGCATCTTATCATCTAGTGAGGAACACGTGCTGAAAAAGGAAGGAATTCATGGACATACAATATCAATGCCACAGCAGATCTGAAACTAGCAAAAACATTCTTTTTCAATTGAGGTAAACACATAGAATATCTAACATGAAACAATTAATAGACTGAACTCTGTACGAAGTTTGTTACAATATTCTCTCAGCTTTTTTTCCTCCCAAAAGCATTGAGTTCATAATTTAAGTCATTTTTTTCTCTTTTTTTTCTGTTTTAGGTTTTTTGGTGCATCAACCATCAAATGCTTCTCCAGTGCCACAGAATCAACGTTTGTTTCAGTTCTGTCCTTATGGCAAGTGTGTTGATCTGCAGATAAAGAAGCGCTGCAGGATGTTGCTTTTCCACCGTCAAGCTTCCTTCGATAGGCTCTTACTAATGAGAGTCCAGGGTACAAAAAAAAAAAGAAAAAAAAAAGAAAATGTATAAAACCAACACAATCCAGTGCTTGGGCAATTTAAACAAAGAACCTTTTCCTTTAAAACCTACAGGCCAAACATTCATTCATGAACAAAAAAAAACAAAAAAAAGAAAGAAAAAAAAAAAAAGAAAAAAAAAAAAAAGAAGGGCATGACAAATGTTCAAACTGAATCTTCTGGAGAGATCCGGTGTCATTTAGCAGCCTTTTCCCATCATGCCCAGTTCTTATGGGGGACAGGACCTGATTGCCCTCTGTGGTTTGAAGCCTTTTTGAGATGTTCCATCTTCTTGTTTTTTTTCTTTTTTTTTCCTTTTTTTTTCTTTTATAGTGCTGTGCTGCGAGACAGTTTCTCCTCCAGGAAGGAGCACACACAGTGTGAGAGAGAAAAGGTTAACCTTTAATTCTAAAACTAGCTCAGGAAACATAAACCATGTGATCAACAAAAAAAATGCACAAGTTTTAACTTATTTATCTATACTTTTTATACTACAGTAGTTATAACTCTTGGAGTCTTTCTGTTGTTTCTTTTCTTTTTTTTTTTAATCTTCCAGAGTGATATTATTTTAGAAGAGGGTGTCAGATGAAAGTGTACTGAACATGTTAATGATGGTGTGTTGAGTGGGTGTGTGAAAAGTGTGTGTTTTTCTCGAGTGTGTGCATCTGTCCATTCTTAGCACACGCGTACGTCAAAACATCCTCTGTTGATCTTTTACCAAAAGCCCAAGACTTTACAAAGTGTTCTTGTCAGCTTGGTCCTCCGTTTGGATGAAAGTAACAAAATTGACAAGTTAAAAAAAAAAAAAAAAAAGAAGTATCACAGCTCATCTGGAATTCTGTTTCTTTAGTGTCAAATTCTGGTCAAAAGGGCTTGCTTTTATTCTTAAAAATAGTCTCAAAATAGGATTTGTTGTGGGCTGCGATTTTTTATTTTTTTTTTCAAACTGTTTTCTTGTCGTAGCTGCTGTTGTCATGGTTGCAAAGTTCCCTTATACTATTGGGCATGGATGTCCAGGCCTTGTCCTCCAGTACTGGGGTCAATGGGAGTGAGCAGAGGGGGTCTCTGTGCAGACATGGTCATTCCTGGGTGTGACGACGGTCCTCCGTGCATCAGCATGGCGTGGTGGGGATGGTGCGGATGGTCAGGTAGATACGTGTGGAGAGGGGGCCCGTGTCGGAGCTGGGAGGGGTGAGGAGTCATCGGATGGGGGTGGGTGTAAGTAGGTGGGGCCATGCTCATGCCCACAGGACTGATCTGAGGTACGTATTCCCCCGGCATGCCCGGCAGACCTGAGGGAAAGACGGAAAGAGAGAATTTATTCATGCAGTCCATAAAACGACTCTGACTGCAGCTTTGACATGCTCCCCCTCCATTAACAGGCCTTAATTCAATTTAAACCCAACTTCACCAACAAAGGGCTTAGCAGATTTTATGACACTGTGCGTGTGAGACTACAGAGCTTTTAGCGTCTAAAAGTAAAGGGAGGCATTATTGCACCGGGCTATTTTAGGCTATGGTGAGTGGTTTACAATGCCCAATAGCGTTGTGGTCAGGTCTCAGGTTGGAAAATGATCCTCAGTCATCCACAGACAGTGTAGTCCTGGAGGATGTAAGGAAAACCAAGGAGGCATATTGATGTGGAGAAGTGCTAATACTTTTACAAGTGGAACAGTCAATTCCCCGGCTGAATTTAGTGACAAACCAAAGAGACATTCTCTCCTGGGGACATGCCTTTGTGAACATATTTGATTTAGAATCCCTTTAAGAAGTTCTTAAATAATTGAGGACTCGGTTTAGTTGTATCAGCAAAACAGTGAACGTTAAAGGCTCATTTCTACCCCTGAATGAGTGCACTTTGAGCTTACTCGTGGAGGCATGGAGTGTGGGTTTTGGAGGAAGAATAATAGTAGGAAACACTGGCAAAATGCGGTAACAAAGATAAAAGGAAGTAGAGAGAGAAAGGGAGGGAAAGGCGGTGGGGTGTGGTGTTGTTCCTTTAGATGGAGCCCACTTCATATGTGTAGAGACCCCAGCATGCTGGCATCTCTCATGCTGTGACAGCACCCAGGACACAGAGCTAACCCAGCTGTGCCACGGTTGGACTTCTCACACAACTGTTTGTTGTAATCAGAAAGAAAAAGGCTAAGATGTGGTGGGGGGTAGTTCCTGAAGCCTGGGACTGGAGTATGAGAACATGGCTGGTCCAGAGGCCTGGACCTTGGGGAGGAAGAAGTGAGCAGGAGGGTCCCACTGGAGCCAGGGGGCCTGGTTCTGGGATTGGGTCTGGGCTGGCCTGCTTTGTAATGTGAACCCCAGGGGGATTAGAAGCTGTAATAGGAGGGGAGAGGTCGCCGAGGGGTCACTAGGCATACTCACTCTCTGCATTCCTCCACCTTCGTACACTGCAATTAAGAAATTACACTGGAGGGCCTCGGAGAGGGGAAGAGGCGGAGGACAGAAAGGAGAGAGGGACAGCAAAGGCCAAGATTAACAACCAGTCTCACTAGTCGAAAGCTGGGCCATTTTCTAATACTCCATTTCCATGTCAGTTCATTTGAAATGCAAGTGTTTGTCAGAGCAGGTCTCTTAAATCCTCACTACTGGGGTCATAAAATGAATAAATCTTTCAGGGTGTTAGGGTATGATGGGTGCCCTTGCCTCCATATAACCTGGAGCAGCTCCTGTTAAAAGGCCCAGCAGATGTTTTTGACACTGTAAGCTGGTAATCTCTACTCTTGTAAGCTGCAGTCATTCCATTAAGTAGATCTGAGAGCCTCCCTCTTTCTCCTTTATTAACAAGAGTGGTAAAATCATCTGAAGACAATAACTGAGAACAGACTGGGCCCCTCTCCTGCCATCACCGCACGCCTGCCTCTCTAGCTGCCTGAGCATTTCTGTTATGGCACAGTAGTCCTGCTCAATGGCTGGCCATAATTAAGTACCAAATATACCATATTGTGAGGCTGTGTAATCAAATCAAGAGAGGATAATATTCCTCTGTATTAAGCTATTAATGTAATTGGTCATGAAGCATAAAGTATGTTACGTAATTAAATAGTCTCAAAATTATATAGCCCTATATTAAGAATTAGCCAACCTGAGCAAATGTTGTCTCTGTGTGGCTGTTTTAGGGAACATTGCTCCCTGGTTTTCCTTTTTTTCTGCCGCCATTAGCCGAGACGAGAGCGGATGAGAGCCAACATGAGGGACGCGGAAAGGAATCACGGACTGGAGGGGTGAAATGATCTCTGTCAGAAGAATTGCTGCTGTGACCCTTTGGAAAATCTACTTTCCATTTACATATAGAGGGTTCTTTTAATCAAGGTAAGTGTTATTATATTTTGCCTCATTGGGCAAGGGAGTTTAGGTGTTAAATAAAATCTTCTCTGCCCTGCTGCCTTTAGGATGTGATATGTCTTGATTTTTTAAATGTCAGCACTGTGGCAGACCGGCCGCCTTAATCAGACTGCTGCCATCCAGTTGTGTTGAACTTGTGTGTCTGTGTGTGTGTGTGAGAAAAGAAAACAGTCGCACAGAGACTGTATCTGTATGTGTGAAAGAGATCCCCTCGTTTTGGACCCAGCATGCATGCTTGTGTCTACAAGCTTATAAATTAATCTCAGTGCCTCTTGTCTGCGAGTCCCGGGTCAGGCTTGTCACTGGCCCCCACCCTCCCTTAAATCGTCTCCCTCCAGTAAAAAATAATCAAAACACACAGCCCCCCCACACAGTCATTCCTTTCAATACACTGCTCAAACCAAACCCCCGGTGAAGGATCGACCATGTCACCCACGGCCCGTATATCCAGCTCAGGGACCGTAATGTACTGCGCTGTTCCCGTCTTTGCATATAAGATAATTTGGGCATCAATCCTTCCCCAGACAGATTTATGTCACTCGGAGGACAGTTTCACTTCTCCTTCTTTATCGCTTCACTGGAGCCTGCTTAATTTCCCCCCTGTCAGCCCCTTCCCCAGGAGATGTTATTTTTTCCCTAAATGTCCAACATTTGCATTGGCTGTCTAAGATGGGGAGAGCGATGGCACTGTTGTGATAAATAAATTTGTGCTTGCCATGCCAGGTTGTTTCTTCCGCCCTTTTTTATCTGTTGTTGTTCCTGTTGTCTGGCGCCACAAGTCGGGTTCTCTCTGTCCCAGGATGGTTCCCATTTTCTCAAAGTCTCCAATTCATCCATGGCCCTCCCACCTCTACCCTTAAAGCATCCTGCTAAAGCAGCCCTGCAGGGTGGCTGAGTGTTGTTGCTTGGGGCAAGAGCTCGCTGTTAAATCATGGTAACAGTGGAGAGGTTGTGCTGGTGCAGTGAAAGGGAATTGTAGAAAAAAACAAAAAAACAAAAAACAAAACCCGGAGCCCCGAACTTAAAAAAGCAAGGAAAATAACCTAGTACTTACTTCCCCCTTTTTCTTTGCGTTATAAGATGGAGGTTACATGTAGTGCCATTGCCCATCCATGCCCATATTCATCCCCATTCCACTCATAGGCCCTAGAAAGAGGAGATAAATGCCAGAAAAAAGGGTCAGCAGGAGTCTGAATTACAGAGAGGCCGGAGAAAACCCGCTCGGAGGGAGGATGAAGTCTGTTAGCTTTAGGTGGAAAATAATGAAGGTGGAAGGAAAGAAAAATGCACAGAAACATTTGAGAGGTTTTGAATTAGCAAAACATCCCGCCAAACGTGTGTTATTGCAAAAGTGATAGTTTTTTTTATTACAAAACAACAAACAAAAAACAAGCAACTCCAGCTACTCATGCACTTTTGGGGAAAGTTGTTATTGTGGTTGTGGTCCAGCTGAGCTGAAGGTTTTGTGGTTGACTCTGGGGTTTGATGCATGCTGGGATGGCTGCGTGTCATGCTGCAGACGAGAGGATCAGTGCTGACCTCTGCAGTGACCGGGGTTGAAACTGGTGTCTGGCAAAGCAGGCGTGCCAGGGGAGAAGGGGGGGTGCGGGAGAAGAGGAGGCGAATGGACTTACCAGCCGGTCGGATCCCCATGTGCTGCTGACCGTCCAGCACGAAGCTGCCCATTGGTTGGCCCTCGGGACTGTATGCTGCTCCTTGGCTCACTGAAGGATCAAGAAGAAAACCTGATTGTAGTCAAAATGTGGACATGAAAAAGGGAGGGGGGGGGGAAGAAGAAGAGAGAACACACCAGACAATCAGCAATTGTCCCAGCTCCAGCCCAAACATACTGTAAGACATTGTGCTAATGTTTGTGGACCGCACTGACTGACGCGTGGCATGCAAACACGCATACAGTAGGTCCTTATGCATACAAGCACACACACACTTGTGCGTACACACAGCTCATGTCATTCAAAATCCCGCTCACAGCAGATACATTGTTCTCCAACCGGAGGAGAAAGCATGCAGTTTGACAGGATGAGAAGAATTTCTGCCCTAGCAGGCAGAGTAAGAGTAAGTTCTCAAATAAGGAGCCATGTACTTTACGTACACGTTTTCTCACAACATGAGCAAGATATATCATTCAAGATACGATGATAATCCTCATTCACAATTACATTTATTTTCTTTTTAGGGATAATTTGTGTTATTTTCATAATACAAAAGACACAGCAGCACTTTGATTTTGCTTAATACTCTTATATTAAATATGATGAACTGCAACTCTTTGGAGATCATAGAAAACTGTCCATTCTTGGAATATACCAGCATTAAGTTGTATAATCAATCATTCTTAACAACCCTGAAAGGTTTCCTTGTTAAATATTCTACATTGAGTCGCCCACATTTGTTAGTGCATTTAATCTGATTATAGCGAATGTTGTCTTTGAACAATCTTCATGCCGTCAAGCTTGAAAATCAACAACAAACACTTCCCTCAAACAAATGATTGCGGTTGTATTTGATGGTGTTACAATAAGTAAATTATTCCACAGGATCACCAGACTGTCTTTCTAGGGCTCAATCTATGTTTTGCAGGTACAGAATAGATAGAGAAAATGTATGTTTTATTTGCAGTCTAATATAATACTAAAAATGAATATGTTTTCATCAAATGCAGCACTGTCACTGCATAGATATTAAATTAAAAGATGAAATTCTGCATAATCATATAATCCTATCCAATTTGCCATCCCTTCTTATCATAAAATCCATTACACCATTACATCTTGTAAATGACTTTATATTTATAATTTGCTCAGGTCTAGCTTTAGATCAAAATTCAGAGGGATTCATGTGGAAGTGGAATAGGCATGTGACGAAACAAATCAAGGGTGACCCATTCTCAACCACTCTTAGAAAAAAATTGAAAAACAGAATAAAAAGGTGATAACTCATAAATCCCTGCTAGCCTTTCTGGGACTCCTCTTGTGTCCAATTAGTCATTCGCAGGCAGAGTGCTAATATACCTTTCGCCCCACTTACATTGGGAAATTTCCAATTAGAGTCAATCAGCAAACAGCCTGCAACGCATCTCATTGAGAAAATAGAAATTAACAGGGAATGAACAGAGGGAGAGTATGAAAAGGAAGCAGAAAGGCTTTCTCTGTATGTAGAAGTGCCCTAAAACAAATTCGGGCTTCAGGCATCATGTGCTTCTAAGTAAGGCATTTAGAAAAGGCTGTCTTCTGATAGGGGAAAAGGAGAGAAGTAAGCAAAGTAACACTCTTCGGCAGAGAGGCCGGATGGTACTTTTTTTTTTACCTGCTCGATTCGACTGGTCAATCATGGGTTGTACTATTCTTCTCCTGGCGTTAATAAACCTGGTAGAGAGTAAAGAAAAAACAAAGAGAGGAGAAAAACAAACGTTAAATCAGCCTGCATTCACACAAAGAAAGATTCATTACAAACCTCTACAAAGAAAAACACTTTTGCATGACTTAATGGCAACATTAGCCACCAAGTCCTTAAGAGAGGCACACAACAAAACGGTAACAAACAAAAGGGCAATTGTGTGCTGACTTGGGAACCCAGAGAGGGATACTTTTAATGTTCCATATGATCTATTCCCCTCTCTTTTAATAAAGCTTTTGATTACGTTTGGTTGCTATGGGCACCAGGGAGACATTCCTCAAGTATTAAATGCAGCTTGGGCACAGAGGCTTGGGCACATCCTGCTTTTTCCTTTATCCTTTTTCGGTGTGTCCCACAGCCTGCTGCATACAGGACACGGGGACTGTTTACCTAGCCAGCGTACAGAATTCTATCTATAGTTTTCCCACTGAAGCCTTTTTTTCAATACTATCATGTATTGCAATTTCAAATTGAGTTTTACGTTAACAAAATACAGGACACAAATGGTTCTTTCATTGCACCCTGCCACTTTACCCCCACCTCCGCCGTCCCCCTCTGTGGGACCCCCTCTCTGGCTGCATTGTAGGAGGTTCTACTCCCCTTCCAGCTGTCTAGAAATGAGGACCAGGCATGGGCCACTCCGTGCTTTCACAAGGTATTGTTATGTCAGTGAGCCCATCAATTAGGCTGTCTGAAGTTTTATCACCACCACTGCAGCGAATAAGTGCAGCTCCACAAAGCCTCCCCAACCAAACTTGCTCCTGTGGCTTTTCCAGTGTAGAGCTGGAGGTCATTGGGAGGTGAGTGCCAGCCAGGGGCAACCGTTTTAACTTCCAATGGGGTGCCTTGGGCTGTGTCAACAGCAAGCTGGTCACTCAGAGCCAGGGCAAACTCTCCGCTTTTCTTTTTATTACATTTTTGTACCCACTTTCTAATTCTGTCTCACTTCCATTCACTTTAAAAAAACTTATTTAAAAAAAAGAAAAGGCAGCTTAGCACTACAGGTACAACCATGTGGTTGATATTAAAGGGGGTTTCAAATCACATTGGAGCTGTCCAGCATGCTGGTTCCAAAAAAGGCAGAGAGGGGAAAAAAAAAGAGGTTTGGGCTCCCTCTCCCAACATACGGGTCCACGGCACGATCAATACGGTGGAAGAACTGGTCATTAGAAGGAAGGGAGAGCTGGAACCAATTTGGGCTCTTAATCCCCCATGAAGCCCTGATACCTGCCCTTACCTTCTCCAATGAACTTAAACGCCTGTAATCTGCCTGGCTCAAAGTGACATGGTTAAATGTACAAAATGCACGGCTGGGAAAAGAGAGGCGCGGTACTCATTTGCCAGGGGGCATCCAGAGTGCAGGTACGCAGGGGTGCTGTGGGCCCCCGAGAGAAAAAGATGAAACGCAGCCATATGAGAATACGAGAGAATAAAAGAGGAGGACGAGAGGTAAATCAGGATTGGAAATCATATGATTGTAATGTATGCTTTGTGATTTATGGATGATTGAGGATTACGTTTTATTAACTGGGAAAGAGTTTTTGTGTTTGAAAAAAGACACCAAAGCATTGTCAGGTCACCGTATTGTCAGACATCCTTGCAGCGCTTTAGAAAGAAAGACGGTTCCAGCATCAAAACCAGCTGAGCAAGTAAAAAGTCAGACATTCCGAGTATTGCACTCCCTTTTTAAGCACAGTGCGTTGCCTGTTGAAATATATGTCTTGCCTTTTGCTGTTCTAGATACACCAAGGGTTTCGAAATGACAACCATGTGCATTCTTACCTCCTCTGGGTCATAGCCATAAACGCATAATATTAGGAATGTTCGTCTGAGGCGCTAAATTTGACCATACGGTTTCCAACAACTGCACAGAAAATACTCATGAGAGTATCCTCTAGAATCAAAGCGCCAAGTTCAAATTCCTTTGTTCTTTTTCATTAAAATGTTATATTAAGATGGGTGTTCTTCTTGTGCTTTTCAACTTGTAGGAATTTCTTAAGTTTGAATGTAACTTTAAGAACATTTGTTCTCTTTGACGTGCTCATTTTTGGAATGATTGCCGTGCAGACATACATGTATGTTTTTTAAAAAAATCCCCCCACAACCTGTTTCTGAGATGGACCTGCTTCTTGTTAATGTTTCCTATTCACTAACTAATACCATATCACAGCGCAGAGCCACAAAGGCTCTGTTTTTGCATGCTGAGCAAGTTGCCACAGAAACCGACAGGCGATGAGGTGCAGCGGAGGGAGTGGGGGGTGACCAGGGGCTCCTATTCTGGCCCTGGAGCACCTTTTATCAGTCTGAGTAAAGCCAATTGAGATTATCACAGCCTGGCCTGATAACAATGTTTTCCCTCGACCCGTGAGCTGCTAATGGAGTGTGCTTAAAACAACAAAACTAGGAATCCTCCAGAGATGAAGGCCAGCCAGCTTGGAAGGACAGTCAGTTGGATGCATCCAAAACCCCCAGAGAGACACAGAGGTTGACCACAAGGACTAAGAATTCCTAAACCACTTGCTAAAAAATACGTGCGCGCTGTAAATCTATGCACCACCACCGTGGACATGACCACAACCGCCGCGAGTGTGTCCGAAGGCTAACCAGAACACAGAAGGCACACAAGGGACGCTAACTCGAAAACCTCTAACCCAAAGCCCATGTTTTATTGTCTACATCTGGTGGTCTAGCTTATTACGGCCTGCCTCTGCTCAGTGTTAGCGCACAGAAACACCAACACACACACGCACACGCAGTACACAGAGTACCTCTCTGCATGGGAACTTCATGCTGTCTTCAAACAAATAATTAAAGCCAGGGTTAGGGGGTCACGGAGAGGTCATTCATTGGGATACAGCCCAGAATGTGTACACTACCCCAGGAGAAAACAGGCTGGGAGTGGGGGGCGGAGGGGGGGGGGGCGGCCGCAGCGCTCTACTGCTGTTTAATGCGAGTAGCTAATGTCGTCCAGCCAATAAGCCTTAAACACATTTTCATGTTGCATATCAAAAACTACACTTGCAGCGCTAAGTGCGCTTCGGAGCGTGCATGTGAGTATGTATGCACGTGTCGGCCGGTGTGCGTCTATTGTGCATGTCAGCACATTCTTCACAGACTGTTGCCAACTGGCCCGCAGTAGCACTTCCAGCTGACATGCCCTGCAATGGTGTAAAGGATGCTTGTGTACAAACACACGTGCGCAGATACAATCCGCAACGACTTGGAACCCAGCTCCTTGATGATAATAAAGTGGTAGGTTTACGAGAGCTCTGACTGTTGAGGCTTTGCAGGTCGCAAAGGAAAATAACAGACAGATATGAATGATGGAGCCAGGGCAGCAGGAGTCCACTTGACACAGGGTCTCCACTAGGCTGGATCAACACGGCATCCGTGGTTAATAATATCTGTTCTCGAACAAGGGGGGAGCTTTAGAGAGAGCCTCTTTGGGTGTTAAATGCCCTGTCTGGCTTACACTATTATGTTATAAGGATCAGGGGGATAATTGAAAACTTCAAAACTTACATAATCCTAAACCACAATTTTATGGCATTTCCACTTAACGCAACAAATCAACTGCGTTGTCATCTGTTGACGATTTCTAAAGATAGTTACAACAGGCCTTCAAGATGTAATCATTGCAAACCAGTTTGACTGAGTCAGGGTTTGTCCTCTTCTCTTTTCTGACTTCCTAATCTCGATCTGTCAGAAATGCCTTCTTTCTAGTTAACTGACTTGCAGCCACACCTGGTAACTCACTCCTGTTGTCAGCATTCTTTCTCTGAGAATTGTCATGCCAAACCACCCTACCCTGGAGCACAGCCAAGAGACAGAGTGCATGAGGGAGGGAGATTAAACCGAGAGGGCCTCGCTGCTTGGATGGCCAATTGCGGCAGGGATCGGCAGGAACCCGGCCAATCAGGAGTGGGGTCACTCGTTTGACGAGTTTGTGATGAAAGAAAGAAACCGAGCTATAGCCAGAGACAGGAGAGAAAAGCAAGAAGCATTTCCTCTCTATGAAATGAGCCCAACGGTGCTCTAATCAACGAGCATCCTAAGAAAGGAGGTTGCCTTAGAATTGCTGCACAGAATTTGTCGGCAGTTTATTACCTTCATGGCTGACCAGCACATGCCCATTTCGAAGGCTCACATGCCAGGGAGAGGGGGGAGCAAGTTTCCGTTCATCGGTCAAATTCCAGGGCCCCTGTCTGTCTGCCTTTGTGGGAAGATTACATGCAACAAAATCTGAACATGAACGTGCTGAGCTCAGTACACGATCACTGCTTGCAAACATGACCATCCTCTGGATCCTATTAAATCTCATTGCTTCCATACTTCCGCTTCGGACAAAAAAAGATTCCAAACCCCCAGCAATTGAGTTACAACTCAATGGCATCAAAAGAGGAAAAATGCTTTGGTTACATCCTCATTCCCAAAAAGATGGAGTGAAAAAATAAAAGCAATACATGTCCTTTGACCAGGAAGTGCATGCAAATTAACCCCGTAAGGAGGGTGTGTTTAGTATAAGCAAACACTAATTATGGCCTGGACAGACAGCGAGGCAGAGCGAGGCTACTGAACTTCAAACACTGATCTATTGTTGTGTCAACAACAGTGATTTAATCAGCTCACATGGTCCAGCCCGGCCCCCTGTAACAGTTTATACACACAGTAGTTTGCCAGTCCAGACTGGACCTACAGTATCTGTGTATTTATCATAAACTATCACAAAGGAGCTTTTCACAGGCTCTACTCTTCCAGGATGGAGATAAAGGACAAAGAGATAGGAAAAGAACGAGGAAGCTTCCTCCAGCTCACCCTATCAGCAACAGGGTTTCCCGTTTTTTTCATCCCTCTTTTCCGTCTTTAAGTTAAAACAGGAGTCAGGAGACATACGCTGAGTTAACATTACCTCACCCCCGTGTTTGATTTAGTGCA